TGCATTATGGCGCAAAATCGATTTATAAAACTAAAGACCTAACCTTAAAAACAATTTAGATAGCCTCCACTTTAAACTGGGCCAATGTAAACTTATGTCATGTTGACATTTACACAATTTCCCTTTCCTTTTCTTATTGCCCGTCAAATAACCGGAATGGAGGGCAAGAGAGAATCAGATAACCCAACTTTCGTAATAAAGGAGAGCTTAAACATGTGATATTATCCAATTAGCTGGTTTTCTAATTTCCATTCACAATAGAGACATGTGTTATGGCGCCAAATCGATTTGTTTTGACCCACATAAAACAAATGACCTAACCTTAAAAAGATATGGACATATTATATACTTGTCTACAACGTGTTTTTGTCACAACCAAAGTCCCTTCACATAATTAAGTCACGTTTGCTTAGAATGATACCTTGAATTATTTAAGTGTTTTGTTTAGTTTTTTTTTAGAATGTCTTTTCTAACCATTTCTAACACAGCCATTGAACTTGTGTTCAACAACAGTGGCGGTGGGCATATGTTCTCAATGACAGTTAACTGATTAATGTATCTTCAGGAAAATATAAATGGTATTTTAGAATAATGACATTTAGCATCAAATACCAGTTGTTGTGTTAAGCAATGACAAGTGCAGGCTACATACACATATGTTGTGTGTATGTACGTTAAAAATGTCACGTATCCAATGTTGGGATTTCCAACAACAAGTCAAGTGACTTAACAAAGAATTAAACAGAACCAACACAAGGAAATTGCAAACTGGACGATTATAAAACAGGCATCGTTTTTTTATCTCTGTATTGTGATATCTATCAGACATATCTACCCATAGCTGTTCGTGAGAAGGAGATGTGGGGGAGCACACACATTAAGAATGAAAACATTGATTGTTGCTTCTCACCCAGTCAGTCAGCCAGCCAGCCAGCCAGCGAACAACAAGCAAGAAAAGTAGACAAAAGCCGCCACCAGTCAGCGCCAACACTACCTCCTCCTCCACCACCTTTTGGCCGGCATTTATTATAGACGCTAACATACAAAACAAACCGAGAAAACGTCATCACGATCACTCGCTGAACGCGTGCTCCTCGTGGGCATGTAACATTTAACGTTTATTTATTATTTTGCATCTATATGGGGTATGAACATTCAGCATTTTGTTCTCGGGGGTCGTTCGGCTGCAAAACATATGAAAATCATTATTTTTAAGAAGCCTGAGAGGTTGAGAGAAACCATAAATAACCTACCCACACCCTCCCCGTTAACAAAAACACCATCACCACCACCTTCTGTCATTTTTCGCCCCAAGAAACTGGTTCGAAAAAAAAACAAAAACAAATAATTATGGTTTAAATTAAGTGTTATGATAAACAAAACAAGTTCACTTGTTTTCCAGCCCAGCCAAGGAAGGAAAAACAACATCGCAACACCACAACAACCCGAAGAAAACAGGAATAACAAAGAAAAACCTGACAATATAGCTGCTACCTAACTACCTGGAAATTAAATCCAGGTGATCTTTGAAAGCACAAAATGAAAAAAAAAAAACAAAGGCCTTTTGTGTAAACAAACAACATGAACATGAAATTTCCCTTGCCCCATGCCATTCTCCATCTCTCCCTCTCTTTGGGGCCGAGATGAGTAACTTTTTTTCTTGTTCGGCATGCATGCTCCACTCTGCATCGCAACCACAGCAAACATTTATGTTGTTTAGTTGCTGTGAACAACATTCATCAGCACATCCATCAATGAAATCACAACGTGAGCAACAATTCGGGTACAAAGTCCAAAATTTGTTTGGGTCGCAGTCCAAAGTCCAATACAACCGAAAAGCAAGCACAAAAAAACCCAATACAACAAATGTATCAATGTATTGGCTTACCTCTTTGTTGTGCTTTACTCTCGGAAACGCACCAAAAAAAATTGGGGATCTCAAATTGACAAACCACATTAAAAGAAGCGGCAAGACATTGTGTCTCGCGGGGGGTTTGGGGGGAAGCAACAACAACTATTTTACAAACAAAAGGGGTACTCAAAATTTGTTCTCGCATTCATTAACGTTTGCCCGGTCTATCTCTATTTTACATGTTTACGATCTCTTTATTCTATGAGATCTCATAGATATTTGCTCTGTATCTCTCTCGAGCTCCCTCTCTGTCTCTCTTTACGGTAATAGAGTTTTTATCTGAAAAAACACAAAAACTAGCAACTCTTATTTTTTTAGTTTTTTTTGCACTCACCAACCAAGAGTCCACAAAAGTTTCCATGAGTGCTAAAAACAAAATAAAACTCAAGCCCATGTGCTATTGCCAAACCTAAGTTAAAGTTTTGGTGTGTCTGTGTGTGTGGGTATGAATTGTTTTTATGCTACTCCTCCCTCATACCTTTCTTTCTCATCATCATCACCATCATCATCAACAATTAACATTAAGTTTGCATGTCTACAACTTCCATTATTAACTTGTGTGTGTGTATGTGTGTGGTGTCGGTGTGGCTGGTTTGGACTTTGCACCTTTCAAAAAACCACATTTTTTGCTGTTTGGTTTTGTTGACATTAGTTCCATTTGCCATAAGCACTGTACAATCATATTAATATATCTGATATGAGCGCTACCCGGCATTGGTTGGGTATAATTGGTTGTTAAGATACGTTTTTTTTTAAATAAAAAAAGAATAACCTTCGCTTTTTTTAGCAATAAATCACAATAAAGATGGATTAAGTTGCAGTATTACGCCTTTTAATTAGGTTGGCAATTCATAGTTTGTCTCTTAAAGAAACTTGCGTGAAAAGTCACGTGCCAAATATTATAGGAATAATAAAACAGCGAATGACCTTTAGTTTTACCTTCTTTTTTCTCAAAAAATTAATAATACTACCATTCTTTAATGAAAATAGCGTTATTATTGTTCATTTATGGAGAGAGGTTGCACTTTTGCCACCTGGTACATCTACGCATTTAAATTAGGTCGCAATTATAAATTTGCCGCCATTTACATTGTTTTTGGTACAGTTATAGACTTGTTACTTGCTAATGCAACGTAACGTATACGTAACACATCGTATGTAGGAAATAAACGATGAAATGGCGTTTAAAGGCCTAAAAATATATTTTAATCATTAATTTAACACAATTATTAATTTAACACATAAATAAACTGAATTTAATTTAAATATATAGGGCGATCATTTAACACTTGGCACATATACGCTTTTAAATTAGGTCGCGTTTATACATTTACCGCCATTTACAATTTTTTTGATACAGTTATAAGCTCGTTATTTGCTAATGAAATGTAACGTATACGTAATGCCATGTATGTAAGAAATAACCTGTTAAATGATGTTTAAAGCCCTAAGAAATAATTTCATCATTAATTTAACACATAAATAAACAGAATTTAATTTATATATAGAGGTAGCACATATAACCCTTGACACTTTTACGCTTTTAAATTAGGTCGCATTTATAAATAGACCGATGTTTACAAATTACTTGGCACAATTATAGACTCGATACTTGACAGTGCAACGTAACGTATACGTAACGCAACGTATGTAAGAAATAACCTATAAACTGGTGGTTTTTGTACAAATTTCATTAATTTATCACAATTTTATGTCGCATTGTCAACTTTCCAAAGTTTTAAGGAAAGTGTTACTCATATTTAATTTTCTGGCATATTATAGGGTATACACTGTCCGTTTTAATCAATATAATATACAAATATTTCACATTTTTTTTGTCTCGCACGAATATATACCTAAAAAAATTGATTGTTGCTAAGTATCTCCTTTGTGTATCTCTTATTTTTTTCGGTTGGTTTTTTTTTTTCTCCGATCACACATTACTCATCAACACACTTCTGAATATTTTATCACCATCAATGCACAAATGTGTCGTTGATCCAGTTGTTCAACTTTCTCAGAACACAATAACAACAACAACGGATTTTTTTTAGATATTTTTGGAAGCTCCACACAAATCAGAAAAAAAGGGGTGACGAAAATGAAAGGTGTTAATACAAAAGTTGTACAATCAATAGGTGTAGCGTACGCAAAAGGTGTGTGTATATATAAATGCGCGTTAAATATTTTTCAGTTTTCCTTATCATGAAAATGTCAACTTGCCTAATCTGTAAACAATATATATATTAATAATTTCAAAAGATAAACAACCCCACCGCTCGACAACAATGTACAAATATTTGTACACTAAGTACTGTACTTAGGTTGCGATAATACATGTCAAGGTGGAGTAGATAAAAATGTATAGATTTGTCCACAAAAAGTTCAAAACTGATAATTTGGTAAAAAAAAAAAACAGTTGGGGCTATCGTGGAAGGGTAGCTCGATAAAGGTAAAAAAATGAGGTTATCTACACAGTTTGGAAGGTCGATAAATATTCGAATGTGTAGTGGAGATATTTGAGACAATTAGAATATTTTTACAATTTCCAAAATGAATTTGAAGTTTCGAAGTTGTGGAGAAGTCCAAATTAAATGTGTAGAAGTTTTGGCGCCCAAATAAATTGTGAAAATTTCTAAAGTGGGATTTTGGAATGTGGGTTTCTTTAGAAGCCTTAAGATTGCTTTAGAGAGAGAGAGAGAGAGAGGAAGAGAAAAGCTGTCAATGGTCTTACTAAGAAGAGAGGACATTTTGTGGCGCCCAAATGAATTGTTAGGACTAGTAGAAATAGTGGCATTGTTTGAATGTGGACTTCTTGAGAGGCTTAAGACTTTTTTAGAGAGACACAGAGAGAGGGAGAGAAATGTTGCCAATTGTCCTACTAAGAAGAGAGGACATTTTGTGGCGCCCAAATGAATTGTTAGGAGTAATTTGGCTATTCCATTCTATTTCAAGGAGTTCATTGAAGCTTTTAATATATGATGAGAGCTTAGTAGAGCTGGTTACCGATTATCACATAAGTCACTTTAAGTATAAATCAACTTTAATTCTCCAACTAATCTCTCCAAACTTTCTTGCTTCATTCTAGGTCTGCAAAGCCTTGGATATAATCTGTGAAATGGAATACTTTGGCCTGGAGCACTGGGTGCCAAATCAAAAGGAGTCACGCACGCGACAATGGATCAACTTACGCAATCGCCTTTCGTGCGACGGAACGGGCGGCAGTGGAATACCATTGATGTTGGCACTGCGTGTAAAATTCTGGGTTCCTGTGCATTTTATTCTGCAAGAGAGTGTACGCAATCTATTTTATATGCAAGCCAAAGCTGATTTATTAGAGGGTCGATTGAGTGCACGCAATTGGTCAAATGCTGCCAAATTGGCGGCATTCTTGTGTCAGGCAGATGGTTTGCTATTCAATGAGGCTACGCTGAAAGCTGAATGTCCCCTGAAAATGCGTCGTGAATATGAGAAACGTTTGCTGGAGGAACAACAGCAGCAGTTGCAGCAGCAGCAACAACAACAGCAAGCGAATCAAAAAGAACGCAAAGATAAGGAACATGTGCTGTCGTTTAAGAAGAGGCGTCTTTCGAAGCAAAAGTCGGTGGAGCATATCGATAATGTAACACCAGGCCAGGCGGCGGCGGGATCCTCCCCCTCTCCCTCCTCCACCTCTTCGGCAAATACAACAGCCAGTGGTGCCACAACCTCGGCTGCAGCTTCATCTTCGTCAACATCATCCTGCCCCACATTGACCTGTAATCTACACCAAAAACCTCCTACCTCAAGTACAAATGAAACTTCTACCAAAGTACCTAACGAAACGAAAAGTGCCTGCGATAGCTGTAGTCTTAACGAGTCCATAGAGAATTCAATTAAAAACTCACCCTTGCGTATCTATCAGGATTACGTCATAAGGCCAGTCGATGAAGATGAGAGCTCAGAATTGCCCGAAGATTTCCTGAGACAAATCGCCGTGGAACATGGCAAGCTGGCCATGCTCAAGATGTCACCAAAGTCGGCCAAATATTGGCTCTTGCATGAGATACAAGATTTGCCCGGCTATGGTGAGGAAGTTTTTGGTGGTTTCACCATTGGTGAAAATTCCCAGCGTTGTGATATAGCAGTGGGGGCGCATGGCATTCGAGTTTCAACCGGAGATAATGTAAAGAAGTAAGTAGTGCCCTTAGCCATTCTCGTATGATCAAAATATTAATATCCGACTTTTTTCCCCCTTGCAGCATTCCTTTTAGCGCAATCGCTGCTGCTAAATCGTTTAGACGAACATTCAAACTAGAATATGTAGACGATAACAACGATAGACGTGAAGTGGATATTAAATTACCCAAACACTGCATTGCCGCCGGCCTCTACAGATCCATAACCGAGCGTCATGCCTTCTATGTGTGCGACAAGGTGCGCGGTGTGGTGACCAATCAATTTACCAGAGATCTCAAGGGAACCATTGCCTCGATGTTCAAAGAAGACACCGAACTGGGCAAGAAATACATCTTCGATATACGTCACACGAGCCGCGAGGTAATCGAAGAGGCCAGACGTGTACTGCATAAGCGTGGCATTGTTAGCTCGGTGCGCGACAATGACTTGTCATCGCCGTCAGTGTCTGCGTCGCCCAGCGATGCCACTGAAGTGGAAGACCTCACACATTTAATGCCGATTATGAAAGCTTTAAGTGAAACTTCCGCCAATGCCGCTGCCTCGTCTATGGCCTGTAGCTTGGATATGATGTTACGCGAAAAAGAAGAACGCGAAGCGGCCATAGAACGTTGTGTGGACACGCGGATCTCGGAGGCAATGACATGTAAAATATGTATGGATAATTCCATCAATACCATGTTTAATCCCTGTTGTCATGTTATGGCCTGTGCCCAGTGTGCGGCGAGATGTGACAAATGTCCCAATTGTCGGGTAAAAGTCACGGATGTTGTCAAGATTTATTTGCCGCCAGAATTGAGAAGCACAACGACAACACCAACCAAATCCAATGAAACCACCACAAATGTACCTAAACTAACAGCGGTGGCCTAAAGTTTATACCACCCACCCAACCCAATTCCCCCTGGGACCTCTTAACGAACCAGTATCAAGATTAAAAAAGATAATAGCTATTAACAAGCAAAACAATTCGTAACCTTTCTCTTCAACTGAACTTGAATAACCATCGTCATTTCTTCAATTCCTTCAATCTCTAGCATTTAAGTAAATTAATAAAATGTTCTCCTAGTTGTTAAGCACCTATTTATTATTATTAATTATATTTTAGTTATTATGATTTTTTTATAAATAATTTTTTTTTAATGTGTAAATATTATATTTGTTTTTGTCTACTTGTCCTTTTATCATTATGAAAACAAAACAAAACAAAAAATCGACAAAGATATCTTAAAAAAATATGTGTTATCAAAACCACAGACAAATTTACGTTCAATTAAAGAAATTACAGTCGCAATAAAACAATGCAATTATATACATACATATATGTATATACCTGTAAACAAGTAGAAATTTTTCTTTTCTTGGGTCATTGACTGGGAGATGAGTGTCTGGAAAAGGGGTAAATATTTCAGAACATATGCGGGACAATGAACTGTTGATTTAGTAATACAAATGCTAGACGAAAAGATAGACATAAGATTGCAAAAATGTCTGGCATAATGATCTATTTACATAAAACCTCCTTAACACAATAAACTCAATGATCATGTCAGAAATATTCCCATTAAAAAGATCATTAATGTAAATGTGGGTAATGTAAACGCACTCTTAATTGGTTTATTAAACGGCAGATGATAGAATGTGAACCACCCTATAACAAACATTACGAACGGTATATATTCAAAATGTAACACAAAGTAACAGCCTCATCAATGTTACCAATTCACAGTGAATTGATACCCGATGTCTTTTCTTATCGGTCGCGTTGCCAATTCATCATATATTTTTGCATTTTCCCTGAAAATTTTAATAAAGCCCACAACAAAATTTGCTGCATTGTAAAGTACAAACATAATCAACGTTTGGGCCGTTGTTACATTGTTGTGTAGATGTTTGAAAATACTTTTTAACACGATAAATTCAATGATCATGTCATAATAATTCCATTGATGAAGGTCATTAATATTACTGTAGTTAAAGTAAACGTACCCTTAAATGGTTAATCAAATGGCAGAGGGAGTCATTCCCCATATCAATAATTGCGAACGGTAAATATTCAAAATGTTATCCAAAATAACATTTTTTTCTTTTTGTCAGTGTACAGTGAATTGATATCCCATGCCTTCTCTTATTTGGCCGCGTTGCCAATTTGTTATATCGTTTAGCATTTACGTTGAACATTTTAATTAAGTCCACAACAGTATTAATTATATTATAAACTAAACAAACAGTGGACCTTGAAGTAGCTGTAGCATAGTTTTTTGCTTTGGCGTGGAAATTTCAAATTATATCGAAATTCATGATATATCACCCCTAGCGTTGTTGTCATTTTCGTTCTGTTGGTTTTGTCAATATGTTACATAAAACTGGGGTCTTGGGGTTTAAACAGATCTAGCCTCAATGTTATTGTCAGAGTTTCGGGTAGGAATGTTCAAAACTTGAAAGGTTTTACACAAAAAGGGGTTTACCAGCACAAGAAAGCAGCAGAACTTGGTGGTGACCAGCGTTGAAAACTCACTATTTTAGCTACTGTTACAATAATATCCAGTAAAAATTTAAAATTAAATTTTTACTGGATATTATTGTCAGATTCTCAATTCCTTTGACTGCGCGTCAATCAATAACGAATTTTTGTAAAACCTTCAGTTAGGTGCCGGTGTATCGGATGTTCTATGTCATTAATATTGAAATTCAGATCCTAAGTTTAAATTTAAAATGAGTTTAAGTCGTCTTCCTTTCATTCATGCAGTAAATTGTTAATATTTTTCTCTTTTTTAACAGCGTCTCTTTATATTCAAATTAACTTTTTCTGCTCGGGAAGCTAAATGACCTTATATTATATTTTTTTATGGTTTTCCATGAAAATTGAGAAGAATTTAATAATTTTTCACCTTTCCTCCAAGTCTTTGTAAAGTGGGATGATCCGTCATTCCATTTCACTCATTCTTCTTCCAAGGCCAAGCAAAGTGAGATGATTCTTGCTACTTCTTCTTCGCTTTTGCCTTCCCCAAGGACTGTGCAAAGTGATGTGATTCTTTTCTTTCACTGCTTGTTCTTCTTCGATGCAAAAGTGAGATGATGACATGACCATCGCTCGATAACACAACCTCGATTTTTAAATCCCTGCTTCGATTGGTCGATAACATTCAAGTCGATTTATAGATCCCTAATCAGTATGGCTCGGTTCTTTGTTGTTCCATAATTAATTTCTCAATTTTTAATGGAAATAAATGAAAAAATATTGTAAAAAACGCCTAACAATATCCTCAAACAGCTGTAATTTGCATCGCTGCAAGTTTTCAGCCACAAAGTGAACGTAGAATACCCTAAAAACGGCTTGCTGCGATTGCAATGAACAACTAGTTATCGCATTAAGTGGAAAAAAGGCTAAATAAATTTGTTACCGACAAGAGCAACAACAACAAAAAGTAGCAACAACTACAACAACTAACCAAGCAAATGTATGATGATATTTTGTGTGTTTAGGGACACGACGTTCGGTGAAAAGTTTCGTTTTATTGTAGTTTAAAATTGGAGCAAGGTTTCCCCCCGTTCTCGTACTACGACGTTTTGTCTGTCCGACGAACACGACGTCGTGTTGTTGAAATTTGTTTTAAATGTGAAGAAAATAAAAAAGAAAACAAACATCTAAATTGAAATAGAGAAAATAAAGAGTTTTTGGTTGTAAATATCCCCGAGGGCGTTGAAGTGCATCATTCCTGGGAGTTTCGAATTGCCATTCGATTGGATTTTTGTTCTCGGGATTTTGTAAAGCAAGAAAAAACAATTAAGAACTTTACAGACTATTGGTGCAGTGCTATCAGTAGTGCATTGTTGCATTGCACTGGTGGCCCCCACACTCCTGCCTGCTTGCATCGAAACCATTCGAGACCTAGTACGTACGTACGTACGTTATGACAACAACGAGGACGTCAACTCTACACTCTGGGTGGGCTGCTTCTGTGCAATTGCATACCAATAAAAGTAAAAAATAAAACCATTTTCGTATCACAACAGCAACAACAATAGCAGCAGCAGCTTCAGTGTAGAAAAATAAATATATAAAATTTGCAAAGCAAAAGCCACAACAACAACAGCAGCAGCAAATCGTCAAAATTCGTATCATCGTCATCATCCCATCAACATTGATCGCCAAACCAAACAACCAGCCAGCCAGCCAGCCAACCAACCCATCATCAGCAGCAGAGTGCATTGAGTGCATACATAAATAAGCGCACACGCACACACATAGTTCCACATAACATACACCCATATGTATATACAGCTGTATCCAATTTCCACACAAGTGCCTCAAATGTGCCGGGATAGATGAATGGGTGTTTAGAATAACAAATTGCTAAACATCTCCTAGCCCAGTTGCTCCAAAGCAGGTAAGTTGGGATTATGGCCTCAATTTGCTGTAGGATCTCCAGCTTAATTGCTTCCTATTCCTTTTCAGAGTGTGTAGAGGAAAACTTCTTCTCAAAGAAAATCAATGATGGAAAAAGCCAAGGCTTATATTAAAAATGAGCTTAAGAGCAGTCAGCAACAACAATCGGAACAATCTAGACCTCCATCGGCCTCATCTCAACAGCAGTTGCAACAGCAACAACAGCAGCAACATTATGCTGCTGCCGTGGCCGCCCACCATCACCACCAGCTGCAGCAGCAACATCAATATCGTTCGCCGGAGGTAATGCCATTGTGTTACGTCTGCGGTGGTCAGGGTGCCTATCAGATGTTGCGTGTCAAACCCAACTACGAAAGGCCGCATGAATCTTATTTCCCCTTTTTGGAACGGCATGAGCCGCCAACGGGAGTACCGCAAGTGGCAGGTCAGCAAGCCTATGTTATGGCCTGTCACCTGTGCTATCTTTCCCTCAATGAGCAATGGAATGCCTACGAGAGGGAAAAGAAGCCGCACATACAACGCATCTATCACATGAAGAGGGTAGATAATAAACCCTATATTGGTGCCGATATTGCCACTCAGGGTGAATATGCCGCCCAAATGTTGGGACTAAGTGCCGAGCATTTAGCCCAATCTAGCCTAGCTAATGAAAGTGTGCAACAACAATTACAACAGCAGCAGCAGCAACAACAACAACAACGTCAGCAACATGCATCGTCACCACAAATGCCTTATGGCTATAGTCGCAACAGCAGTGCAACGCATTATCGCAATGAATCTTCGTCTTTATATAACACTACAACGAATCCCAACAACTCAATGCATCAACAAATGACGCCACAGGGAGGATCCTTGTCAAGGAATTCATCACCCTCCCCAGCACCCAATGCACCTCAAGATTACTACACAAGAAATTCTCCCTTGTCGCTATCGCGTAATCCCAATGAAAGATCACAGTCGTTAAGCAGGCCTCAATCTCGGGAAGGTGGCGGAGGTGGTGCGGGTGGAGGGGGAGGTAATTTACAACTTCCATCACCCTCCTCTAGGCCTTCGAGTGTCCAGGGGAATGCTTTTGAATCACTGAACATCAAACCCTCATCGTTTGCTCATCATAAATTGAAACTGGGTCAGCTATCCTATTCCAATTCGGTATTACACAATGCATATGGTGGAGGTGGTCAGGCGGGTGGTGGGGCTACACCATCCCATTACAATAGTGCTCCCCATTTAAACTTGGACACCAGTTCGCCGCACAATTATCAAATAAAACCAACACCACCACCAACTGTCATGTCACCTTCAGATCCCAATGCCTTGGGTGTGGGCTTGCAAAGAACCACCACACCGCAACATTGTCCACCCAGTCCGTATAGTGTTGACTACAGCTCATCGCATCAAAGAGACACGGATGCTGATGTCTTGGATTTGCGTAACACACGGCCATCGTCAATACCACCAGCCAATGCAAGCGGTGGCATAACATGCTCGGTATCGGCTCCTGCAACGCCAACGGCCGCCATGCCAAATAACGCAACCGCTCCACCTGTAGATGTGGGCATTTTGGATTTATCTATGCCCGATAAAAATTCCACCACCGAAGTTTGCTATGCCTGCGGCGAGGAACAGCGTCGTGGCAGTCTAATTGAAATCAGCACTTTAAAGTCCAAAGATGACAAAGTCGATCGTCCGTATTTTCCCATATTCTATGATATGCACCCACGACCGGCCCGTTCTCGACCCATGGATCCGCGTGGCATGATTCAGGCATGCCATTTGTGTTATGATCATTTGATGAAGCAGTGGCATCATTATAAGGTAAGTGGAGGAGTCTTTTTTGTTTGTACCTATTTCACACTTTTTTTCTTAGAGGGGGTGAATTGGCTCCATGGTTGGAGACGTTGTTCGAAAAAAGGGCTCTGTGACAATAACGTTAAGCTTAAAATATATGAATCGATGTGTGTTATATTTGATTGAGGATGTTTATCTCAGTCGATTCTGCAAATTATTAAATTAGACATGTCTCCTAATTGGTATTTAGTAAATTTGCAAGTAAGGCGTTAACATTTCGGGAGGGTTCAGTCAGGAGAGGATTATCCTTATAGATAAATCCGCCTGCAAATTATCCCCAAGAAAATGTCTTAAATCTCAAGTTTCGGGGTAATTCTGCTACACATTGCGTTTCCTTGTTTCAATGAAAACGTCGAATTCATTGTAAAACCTGACTAATAAAATTGTATGGGAAAAATCCTCGCATTCGTTATCGAAAGAAAACTCATTCGAAATGAATTTTACCTCCACCGTCCACTTTAGCTTGATTAGGCGGAACATTTCCTTAAAAATTTCAGCTAATTTTCCCATTTTAGAGTTAACCCCTAAAATTTTACTTTTTTTTATCAATCTATTCAAAACATACAAACATTCATTTTGATCTAATTTTATTCGATGTGGAATGCAAGAATTTGGCCCCTCGAAGGTGTGTGTTAAAGTTGACACCTGCGTGTTTAATTCTAAATATAATCAAATTTCTGTCTTTTACCATTCATTTTTGTAATCACATGTTATTCCTTGCAACATCAAAGCTTCCACAAGTGAACCGGTCTTGAAACGAGCGCACAAACCTACCTACCTACCTACATAGCTTCTGATTTCTTTCGCATGTAATCCGATAACGCAGAAAATGTTATCGCATCAAACTGCTGCTACTAGTTCTACTTAATGTATTGGGTCATATCTAGTTTTAGCTTGAAAGTGTTCTCGCTCGCATTACCTCACCCGTTGTGGTCTCCCCCCGATGTGTCTTTACCGACGACATCTTATTATCAGTGTTTTTTTTGGTGTGCAAACGATGGACCGACACTTGTGTGTGTGTGCCTGTGCCGCACATTTTAAGTTGTTTTTTTTTGCCACTAATGCAGAAATTCATGTCCAGAACAACAATAACAACAAAGCTACATGCAAACATTACAAATTTGATAACATGGAAAATGTAAACCGTAGGGTAAATAAACTGGCGCCAAGATAGCACAGTGGTTGAACATTTCATGGAGGGGAAATGGTTCATGCGTAAAATAAGGAGATGCGATGCAAAATCTGCATAAAAAATACGCTGGCAAGCAGGTCTAAAGCAAAACCTGGAAAGAGAAGAAGGTCCCTATCCTTGAGTTACACAGTAGCCTTTGATATGGGAGAATTTCTCCCTGAAAATGTGAATACTTTGGAGCCCTGCCCCCTTCTCTAAGTCTTGAAGATCTTTCCTATTGGCTGTGTCTAGAACAGCCAAGAAAGTACTGATCAGGCACGGGGAAATTCCTTCAACTCCCAATTACAGCGCAGACAGACAGAAGGGTTACCGAAGACTTAACCCAATATCAATACAGATGCGACTATCCATCTACGCCTCTCTTCGAATAGCGTCTGAAATATTTACATCATTGTCATGAACTTAGGGTATATGAGGGATGTCAGTGTTTAGGCCTATAACAAGAAAATATTTTTCTATTGTACTGCAGAACCTTATATACCATTTTTTGTGGATGAAGTGGAAGTTGCATGTTAACCAACTTTTTGGCCCGGTCAAAATGTCTTCCCCATTTTATTTGATTGCCAATGCCCTCCATTTCATCTTACCGTTGGCAATATGAGAGCGAAAAAGGCTTCTTCAAAAAATCCACTCCTTCCTTAAAAAATTCTAACCTTTGTACATCCTTGAAAAAAGTTCTGAAAAATTCTTCTTTAAAAAATCCAAACCTTTGTATACTCTTGAAAAAAAGTTCTGAAAATTCTTTAAAAATCCTCTCCCTTGTAGGTCCTTGAAAAAAAATTATTCTTAAAAAAATCCAACCCTTTGTAGGTTCTTGAAAAAAAGTGCTGAAAAAAGTCTTTCTTAAAAAATTCTCTTCTATGTAGGTCTTTGAAAAAGGTTTCTTTAAAAAATCCACGCCTTTGCAGATCCCTGACAAAGTCTTGCTTAAAAATCCACGCCTTTATAGGTCCTCGGAAAAAGTGCTGAAAAAGTCTTCTTTAAAAAATCCACGTCCTAATAGGTCCTCGAAAAAAGTGCTGAAAAAAAGTCTTCTATTAAAAAAATCCACGCCTTTATAGGTCATCGGAAAAAGTGCTGAAAAAAAGTCTTCTTTAAAAAATCTACGCCCTAATAGGTCCTCGGAAAAAGTGCTGAAAAAAAGTCTTCTATAAAAAAATCCACGCCTTTATAGGTCCTCGAAAAAAGTCCTGAAAAAAGTCTTCTTTAAAAAATCTACGCCCTAATAGGTCCTCGAAAAAAGTGTTCAAAAAAGTCTTCTATAAAAAAAATCCACGCCTTTATAGGTCCTCGAAAAAAGTGCTGAAAAAAGTCTTCTTTAAAAAAATCACGCCTTTATAGGCCATCGAAAAAGGTGCAGAAAAAAGTCTTGTTTAAAAAATCCAGGCCTTTGAGGGTCGTTGAAAAAAAGCCATCTTTAAAAAAATACAACCCTTTGTAGGTCCTTGAAAAAAGTGCTGAAAAAAGTCTTACTTAAAAATTCACGCCTCCGATAATCCTTAAAAAAAGTCTACTTTAAATAAAAATGCCTTTGTAGGTTCTTGAAAAAAGTCTTCTTTAAAAAATCCACGCTTTTGAAGGTCCTTGAAAAAATCCCTCATTTTTGGATGCTTTAGTAAGTCCTTGAAAAAAGCCTTCTTTAAAAAATCCACCCCCTTGTAGGTCCTTAAAAAAGTTTTCTTTAATAAATCTATACCCTTTTAGGTCCTTGAAAAAAAGTCTTCTTTAAAAAATCCACCCATTTGAAGGTCCTTGAATAAAGTTTTCTTTAACAATCCACGCCTTAGTAGGTCCTTGAAAAAATCCCTCACTTTTGGATGCTTAAGTAGGTCCTTGAAAAAAATCTTTTTCAAAAAATCCACGTTTTTGAAGTTCCTTAAAAAAAGTCTTCTTTAAAAAAATCCACGCCTTTTTAGGTCCTTGAAAAAAGACACTCACTTTTGGAAGTTTTCTTACTGGATCTTTTTATTGGAACGGTTGCCTATTGCTGGGAATTATATGAGAGGCATTGCACATTATTATAGGCAACTAAATTCAGTCGTTATTTCCCCTTTACTTGGCTTCGGTGGAGGTAGGGTTCATGTCAGTGTCTTGATTACCAATTAAACACAAATTACATCGATGGAATGGGGGAGAACCCTTGTTAAATAAGTAAAAATTATTTTTAGTTCCGCTGGGATAGACATGGCCATATCGACTCAAACCACCTTAGGACGTTCCGTCCTACATTGAATATTATTTGCGAGAAGTTTATATATGCAAACCGAAAATCAGTAGGTACGGTTATATGGGACAGTATACAAAAAAGTTAGGAGTTAAAAAATGCATTGAGAATCCAAAATGTCAAGTTATAACTGATTTAACTTGAAATTGCGATCAAACCCTACGCGTACCTATATCAAAAAGCGTACCTATATCAAATCGTTTTTTACGAGGAGTTATACAATCCACTTAGAAGCCTCAAATTAAAATTATTCGAGGAAATAGCTGATATGGGCCCGAAACCTATAAATTTATCGAAAATCCGGAAGCACAGGGGTAAATGGGGTAAATGTTGGCCGATATATTCCAATATCAAACATCCTTGTTATGGTATCAATACCTGCACAAAATTTCAAAGCTCTATCATATGTAGTGCGAGTTGCAGCTTGATTTCTACTACCAAAGGATGGACTTAGTTAAATCGAAAAATAATTATACTGAGCTCGATAGGATTTCCGATGGTGTCTCGAGGTGTTACAAACGAAATGACAAGGTTATATTACCTTCTCACATTATTAAATGTTCCACAACAAACGCCAAATACTTGGATCCTGATCCTTATTTAAATTTACCCGTTTGAATCTTTTTCGCCACAAACCACTGTTTGTTCTTCCTCCTCTCCTTTACTCTCTCGTTCACTTCTACCCTCCTGTGCTTTTTTTCTTTCTTGATTTTCATCGTTGATTGACTGGCCATGCCACCTAAAGTGTCGGTTGTGTCTCTGCCTTGGTGTTCTCATACTTAAATGTAGTGTGTGCTAGTGGTGGTGGTGATGGTCAATCAGCCATCCAGCCGGCATAGGATATGTAACGAACATGTCGCGTGTTTCTGGTTTTAAATAACGCCGTGTTTTCTTCTTGTTGTTGTTGATATTGTTGCTGTATTGTATCAATCACTTAGCCCCAACCAAAGTTGGTCGACTTCGTGATGGAATTGTGGATTATTGCTTTGCATGTTATTTTTAAGAGATGATACTAACCACCACAAACGACGTACAACATAACATGTGTGGATCATGTTGTTGTCTAGCAAGGTAGGTTTTGCGGCATTTCTATTGGTCATTTTGCTGATTACTGCAATTTTGCTGCTGCCGGCTCGTTGTTTGGGGGAATGCCGGGCAGTAGTTGTTCTCCAAGAAATATTAAACGTGTCTCACGAAAATGGTTACAGATTTTTAATTTGCCATAACATTGACAATTTATTAAGCTTTGAAGAAAATCCGCTAGAGGCGGGAAGGGAACAAAAAATTTGTGGGGCAACACGGACATTGTTGTTGTTAAGATTTGATTTGATAAAGTTATACTGGAAGTCGCATTAATGTAGCCATTGGTGCAATGAACTGTCAAAACATTTTTGGAGTTAAGAATTTTTAAAGAAAAATTATTTAAAAAAGTTAAATTTCTTGAAAAAAAAAAAAAACATATCAAAACCACCTATTAGTGGCATCGTATAAGAAAATATTTAAAAATTAATTTATTTTAATAGAAATTTTAAATTATTTTGACATATTAAT